AAAAAAAAAAAACACATTTGATTGTCATTTGTTAATGTAAGTGACAAACCACATGAAAATGAAAATGAACCTATTAAGTAGAAAAGTAACGTGCATGGGTGTCACTTACGAGATGAAGAACACGGGTAGAGATCTCCCGGCCGGCCATTAATGGTGAAAGCATTGGAGATGTTAGGAGCACCACCGCTGGCTAACGCTTGGTTTTCCACATCAATAACGTTAGCGTTCCACCACTCTCCTGCAATCACAATATTCATTGCTTTCCTCTGTTATATTTTGATGTGCTTCTATTTCCTCGGTATGTGTGTGTTGCTTTTTTTTGCTACTCCAAAAAAAAGTGGGGTAAATGAAAGCGTTTAGAGAACATTCGTGGATGATGAGGTTCTTGACCGTGTCTGTTATTTTTTTCATGAACAAATCTAATTAGATTATCATAACGAGTAACTACTGAATTCCAATGTAAACTCTAAAACTCAAAGTTCCAATATGAAGGTGAGAAGTTTAGCTTAGTGTGTGTTGGTTTTACTTATTTTTGGTGGATTGAATATGTGGTTAGAGTTGTTAATTGAGTTGATCTTGTCTTATGCTCAAATTCAGTCGGTTGTAACTGGTCAAACTTAACCATAGAACTTAGATTCTATTAAATCTAAGTTAAATCCCTCACCAAATATTTCAAACCAAAAAGTAGTATATAGTTATTTGAGAATAAGTCTAGGGTCCTATACAAGCCGAACAACATATTGCTTAAATTTAACTCATTTACAAAACAAACTTAGAAATCTGATCAAATTCATTTTATTTTACAATTTGAACGAGTACTAGTTGAGCTCATATCGGTTGAAATGGGTAATGGACATGCATGTTACTTTTTCAAACTGGTTACTGAACTGAGAAAATCAGAAAAGGTCTATTAGGGTTCTAATTAAAATATATTATCTACACACCTCAGACAATTTAAAAAGTCTCGTTCTCGTTGTTGACTTTGCGTTGCAATCATGGATTATGAAGCGTGAAAGAAATTGAAAAACCAATAAACAAACAGAGACCACAGGATCGGATTAGAGGACTTTTGTACCTAGAACAATTGGGACCTCGCTGTAGGGTTTTGGGAATGGATAAGAACGGCCAACTCTTGGCCGGATAATGAGTGCCCCATAAACTGTTGCTCTAAGCCATTGTACGTGTGCATGCCACCAGAGAGTCCCTTCCTGTCCGGTGATGGTGAACCTGTAGGTGTAGCTTTGTCCGGTCAGGATCGGACATTGAGTCGCATATTCCGGTCCATCGGCCCAGCCACTTAGTAGCTGGAAAATCCCATGCCTGCATAAAACGAAAGACACCAATTTAAACATTGATAATGAGAGTTCTAATTATATAATAACAAGTAAAACATTTATATAATAAGATAGCTAACAACATGAATTTTATCTCCTACATATTTTTTCTTCTAAAGACGTCACATTACTCATTTCTGTCACATGTCTAATTATTTTAATATTTAATTAATTTATAGTTGAATCTAATTTTTTTTTCAATTATTATCTATACACAATAGTATAAGTATGTTGAGAAATTTTATCGAATTACGTATTTTGAAAAATTATCTATATAATAAGATAGATTACAATTTGAATTTTATCCCCTAGAAATATTCTCTCTTCAAAATATCACATCACTCATTTCTATCAGATATCCAATTATTTTAATATTTGATTAATTTGTAGTTGAATATAATTTTTATCTCAAATATTATCCATACATAATAGTATACATATATTGAGAAATTTTATTGAATTGCATATTTTGAAAAATTATTATTTAATATAGTTGGATAGATTTTTTTGGGCGCTCAAATTTTATATTTTATCTTGTTTTTAGACACGAGTTATGACTAGTATATAAACATTGCGCTAGTTTGTTTAATTCTATCTTGGTTTGAATGTCAAACAACAAAGTTAGACTTTGGACACTAGAACATTATGGAGGAATATAGAATGTGTTCTACTTGTCATGACAAGAAGCTTAGTCTATTCTTGATATATAGTTGGGGCTCACAAACAATCCCTAATAGGAACATTAAG